AGATATCCAGAAGAGCCAACGAGACCCCTGCCCCAGAAGTAGACTCAGGTGTGGGAAATCCTGAGTGGTGTAGAGAGTGGGAGAGAATTGGCCGAACTCTGAAGGAATTTTCTGATCCCCCAGCCTGGGAATTTTCACGTGAACAAATTCAGAACCCAGATGAAGTAGGGAAATATCTGGAAGAGAATTGCTGTGATGATTCTAAAAAGAAAAATATCATTGCAATAAGCTGGGCCCTAGCGTATGCTTATCGCACGGTGCTAGATACTGTTGGGCAGGCAGATAAATCAGCAGCTACCCCAGTGACTCAGGCTAAACCAGAGAGTGAGCCTAAGCCAGCAGTCAAACCAGACAGTGAGCCTAATCCAGTGTCTGTTGCTCCTGCCACGAGAGGCATGAAATTCAAAACCAAAACCGATCGGCCAGTAGATGATGATAATGGTGATGTGGGGGAAGGACCCTCAAGACCAGCAACTGACACAAAATCAGAAGGCACTGGTGAACCTTTCTCCCTGAAGGACCTTCGTGGCCTGAGAAAAGATTACACTCAACGACCTGATGAATCTATAATTAGTTGGTTAGTCCGTCTGTGGGATGCTGCAGGTGAGGCTACCGTTCTGGATGGCACTGAAGCGAGGCATCTGGGATCCCTGTCACACGACCCGGTTATTGACCAGGAGATGATGAGTGGGGCTGACCCTTATAGTCTCTGGGAACGGGTCCTAAGAAGTGTGGCACAATGATATCTGTGTGCAGACGATCTCTATATACAGCAAACTCGTTGGAAAACCATAGAACAAGGGATTCAGCGCTTGAGAGAAATGGCAATAGTAGAGATTGTCTTATGGGTGACTTAGGTACTAGAAATCCAGACTTGGTGCCATGCACATCTGTGATGTGGCGAAAACTTGTTCGACTTGGGCCACAAGAATACGCTTCTGCTTTAGCAACAATGAAGCAGGATGACCGGGAAGAGACTGTGTTGGATATGGCAAAGAAGCTTCGAGCATATGCAGATACCGTGCATGGCCCCATGAAGGCAACAATTGCAGCTATGGAAACACGTATGCAAAACTTCCACGACAAAATGGAGGAGAATTTCAAGAAACTCAAGGAAGACCTTCTTCCAGTTTCAGCAGTACAAACCAGGAGCCCTGGTACTCAACGCAGAAGTTACCCAGATAGAGAGAAAAAGCTACGAGCTGAGCTGTGGTTTTTCCTACGTGAGCTCTGTGGAGATGGCTGGAAAGGTGGAAAAGGGCCGACTGGCAACGCAGAGGAAAGCCAATCTGGGCTGCTGATGAGTGGAAAGACATCGCCACCAGGGTAGAGAAACTGTCTGTGAGCGTCCGTCATGTAGATGCCTATGTCCCCAAGAATAGGGCTAATGAAGAGCACCTAAACAATGAGCAGGTGGATCAGGCTGCAAAGATAGAGGTGTCAAAGATAGACTTAGATTGGCAACACAAGGGAGAGTTGTTCCTAGCTCGATGGGCCCATGACGCCTCAGGCCATCAGGGTAGAGATGCCACCTATAAGTGGGCACGAGACCGAGAGGTGGACCTAACCATGGACAGTATTTCCCAAGTTATCCATGACTGTGAGACGTGTGCCACGATCAAGCAGGCCAAGCGGTTGAAGCCGCTATGGTATGGTGGGCGTTGGTCCAAATATAGATATGGGGAAGCCTGGCAGATTGACTACACCACACTGCCCCAAACCTGCCAAGGCAAGCGCTACGTGCTCACAATGGTAGAAGCCACCACTGGATGGTTGGAAACCTACCCTGTGCCTCATGCTACAGCCCGTAACACCATCCTGGGACTTGAAAAGCAGGTCCTTTGGAGGCATGGTACCCCTGAGAGGATTGAGTCAGACAATGGGACTCATTTCAAGAACAGCCTTATAAACAGCTGGGCTAGGGAACATGGCATTGAGTGGGTGTACCATATCCCTTACCATGCACCTGCTGCGGGAAAAGTGGAGAGGTACAATGGACTGTTAAAGACTACCTTGAAAGCGTTGGGTGGGGGATCTTTCAAAAATTGGGAGCAGCATCTAGCAAAGGCCACCTGGATAGTTAACACCCGAGGTTCCACCAATCGAGCAGGCCCAGCCCAATCCGAGCCCCTGCATAAAGTAGACGG